CTTCCAACCCAGGAAGGGACCCCTATGTTTCTGTGATAATACAGAGTGACTTGTACTGTAGCTAGTGACTTTTCTGAGTAAGAATTCTCAAAGAGGACGAGGAATTTTCATTACATTGTGTTAAATTGTGTCAGTTAACTATGGTGTAGACATATTCACAGTTTCTAAGTACTGTTGTCTTCTGTATCTCTGCTGACAGTGACATATTCTTTTCTGTGGTATTGCTGGACTTAACTGTTGATCACAAAGGTCAAAAAGGCCAATATATGATCTGCCTTTATATATTTATTTAACTGTATACCTGCCTGTGGCAGGAAGGTTGAAACTAGATGGTCTTTAAGGACCCTTCCAACCCAAACCATTCTATGATTCTATCTATTGATAAAATAATAATATTTATTAATAACAGATCTTTCCCCCTCCAAAAGACAAAGCCCCCCACCTCACCACAAATGAGTCTCCCATAATAAATCTCCCAAAGGACTGGTGGACAAGAGAGATCTTTTAGGTTTATTTGCTACATGTTGTTTATTGTAATTCCTCTTGAATTCTTCTAGTACAGTGTGTCCTTGATCATCATAGTCACTAAATCAGTGAAATAGCAAACAGTTCTGTGCTGAAGTTGCTGTTTTAAAGGTAGTTAGATCTTCTGTGTTTCAGTTCAAAAAGGGTTTACCCCGATTATTTCACTGTGGTAAGTTCTCATTTGTTTCTTTCTTGTTTGTTCCCTTTAAAATGTGTTTTTTAGTCAGATAGAGATACCTGTGAAATTAAGCATATAGGTGTGTTCCTTTGGTTTGTTCCTGTTACAGTATATGCAAATCATTCTTTTGTATTTGCAAATATCCGCTTAAACTTGTATTTAATATGATAATATTTGTCAGACTTTTTTTTTTTAAGACTGTGGAAGAACAAAGACTGCATCAACAGTGAAGCTTGCAACTAAGTTAATATATAATAGAGGGATAAACCAACCAGAATCTCAGCTTCTATTTTATTTTCTGGGGGTTGGTTGTTTTTTTGGTCTTGTATCTGCTGGCTAACTTTTTAGCTAGAGCTATGGTTTTGAATTTGTCAACTTGGTCTGGTAACTGAGCTGTACTCTTTGTCTTCAGAGTTTTAAAGACAACCTACTGGGACGTACTCCTGTGAGTGTTCCCTAAATCTTTGTTGACCTCTTTTGATCAGTGCACTTCTATTGATGGGTTGGAATTTTCTTTGCTTGATGTTACTGATGCCTCAAACTACTATTACTAAATGTGCCTGATAGAAAATAGTATCATATGTGCATGGGGTGCCACAGAATGGGCTTGTATAGAGCAGGAATCAATAGCTGTAGGAGCTCACAGCCCACTCTGGTGATCTTGCATTCTGTTAAGAGGTAAGCCACAGGTCTTTGAAAATAGCCTTGACAAATGCAGCCAGTTTAAACATTAATTTGGAATCTGAATGACTGCCTGAGTCCTTCTCGGGTTTCCTGTTAGCTGTTTTTCATTTTGATAAATAAGACCCCTAAGGAAGGTGGCTGGATTTAGCAGAAGAGGGAGGCAAATTAAATGTGTCCTGCTCCAAGGGTCAGAACTTGTATATGAATGTTCTTTCTAACCATAGTTGCAAAACCTCAACACTTTGCCATTCCTCTGATTGTGTCCAGGGTAGATGTGTGAAGTACAGCATTAGATCCTGGATAGTCTGAGTGTTCAAGACTTTTGGGAGGGATGCATTGGTAGATGATGGATGGCATCTGTTCCCTTCTCTTTCCTGTCCAGTGTTTGTCACTAACATGAAACATCAACTTGGAGGCCAACTGAACAAGTTTAGTCATTTGCCTTGAAAGTGCACTTAATCAAAGATGTGGAAGGGGCACTGCATGCAGGCCCTGACCTGGGATGATCTGTGCTGGCCTTGGCCTCTGAACTGTAGAAAACAAATGGCTGACTGAGACCTGTTTGCTGGGCAGTGGCTGAAAGGTTGTTGGGAGAAAAATAAACAAAGCACACAACAAATAACCCTTTCTGGAAAATGGATGAGCCCTAGTGAACATGGAGGCACTTCAGTCAACACACAGAAAGACCTGCTCCTACGTGGCCGTGGGGGAGAGGTGCCAGTGTAGTGTTCTCACATTGGATCTTCCCTACATGGCATTGAGGTGATAAAGATGGTCTGCAAAATCAAGGCATGTACTTGCGATACTTTGTGAACAGAACTTGTGTGTAGCAGTGGCAAGCATGTGCTTTGTGAGGATGGCACTAAGGAGTATGAGGACAGTGTATTAATATTGCCTATCATGAAGCAAATGTTTTGATTATTATGTGTACCATAACTGGGAAATTCATGTACTCAGAACCTTGTATTTCATCAAAAGTCTTTGTCTGTACTTTGTCCTGCTGCATATAGGCTTGGAAAATGAGCTCATTAGGTAAAAGTAATTTATGTGGAGGTGGCACAAGGACTTGCAGATTAGGAATCCTTTTTCTGGCTGAGATCTCTGAAAATAGGAGAAACAGTCTTCTGAAATGGGATCGTGAGAAGGAGTTCAGACATTTAAAGTAGGTATGTTATAATAGAACCAACAAGCATAGTCATTTGAGGTTTTCAGGCTTTGGCTTCCCTTTGAAAGAAGTAGAAAAACTTGAGACTTTATAGAAGTAGAGAATTTATAGCTGTTTGCAAGTGTAGAAGAAATCAAATTCTGACACTGGCCAGCTGCTATATCCAGGCTGAGAATTACTAGATTTTAACATGTATGGAAATAGTAACAGTCAGCTGGGAAGCCCTCTGACAACTCAGAGTTGTAAATCCACCTTTAAGGAGATACACAGTCCCAGGAAAGGTGAAGCAGGCTGCTCTTTCCGCCTGACTGAGTGCTGAAAAATGGATTTGGAGTTTGTTGTGAGAGAGGGTTGTTTGAGTGGGGGTCTTTTTGCTTTTTGAGGAGGTGGTCTTGTTTGACAGCCTTTTTTATGTATAATTTTCGTCCTAGTAAATTTTTGGCAAAAATAGCTGTGTTAAGACTGCTTTCTGTTTCATTACAGTTATGCTAAGGATTGGTGAGTACTACATGTCAGTGTTTGCAATAGGAGAGCAGTAGAGAGCCCATGCTACCACCTAGCAGCTCTTGACAGGATCTGATCAGAAGGCTACATGGATGGCATTTCAACTGCATCACTTGGAGATAAACTTGTCCTTGTGACTAGGAGAAATTACTGCTGCGTGATACACATTGTTGTCTTTGTCTCAAGTGTGTGCAGCTGCTGTCACTTGATTTGCTGCCTGGGCATATGTTGCTAGACAGGGGGGAGGGGACTTTTCCCCTTTGTGTTAACTGCTTTTTGCAGTAATGAGGGAGTAATTTTGGACACCAAGTGAGAGAAAGGATTATGTTTTCCTCCCTCTATGATCCATGCCAGTCTGGTGATTTCTGTTCAAAAAGAAACTTCTGGTCACTTTAGACTTTGACTGGAGGAAAACACACAAAAAATATAGGTAAAACATCAGTCCTAGCAGTGAAATAAGCAAATAAGTAGTATAAAATCGCAGTGTTGCAGGGCCTGAGTAATGACACTGAAGTGCGTTAGGTGTTTTGTTCCGTAATTTTAAAGGAGTTACGCAGTGCTCATTTACTCCATAGAATTTGTGCAGGTGTTTGATCTGTAAATACTTGTGTGTCCTGTTTTTCTTCTCTGTCTGGTGGGGTATGTTGGCAGCAGGAGACCGAAGTGGATGCAGCTTTGGTCTCTTAGCTAGCAGTGTACTCCTGGTTCTTTGTTGAAAAGATTGAAGCTGTTGGAATAGCAGTTTGTTCTAAGTCTTACCGGTGCTGGTCTTAAAGATGCAAAGTAACTGGTGGGTTGAAAAATTCCTCTTTAATAGAGTAAGCCATTTAGGCTTGCCCTGCTTTGAGTGATGGGTTGGACAGGGTGGTCTCCTGGGGTTCTTTCCTACATGAATTATTTTATGATTCTATGGGGATTCTGGTGCTGAGGTCTGCCTCTGCTTAGCTTCAGATTATCTTGTCTGTGGTACATTGCATTTCTGTGCTCTGCAATAATTCTCATGTGAGGATTTTTGCCTTTGCCCTGATCCCCTTGTCACCTTCCGGAAATGAAGATTACCTCTACCCCTTCAGTTATAGAGAGGAATAGTTCCTGTGACTTCAATTGACTGATTAAAAAAAACTGTATATGGGACTTACACGTTCAGTGATTTTTACAGAGCTCAGAAAGCATAGTAATGTAAGGTGTGAGATTTTCAAACCTTCAGATTTTTTTAGTCTTCTAGTAGAGGAGGAAGACGTGTTCTGATAGAATTTCTTTTTGCTGCCTTTTGTCTCAGTTCACAAAATATAAGTAAATATAATGTTTTTCTGAGAGAAAGAATGACACAAATGGGTTCAAGGATTTAAATTTAGCCAAGAAGCTTGTTTTATGTCTTGATTCTTTTCAGCTGAGAACTAAAATTACAAAGGTTCTTATTAACGTGGTGAAAATAGTAGCCTTATTTATTTGAATGATAAATAGTAGCCTATTTATTTCAAAAATTTCTAGCAATATTTTCAGTTGTAGCTGATAAACCTAAAAAGCAGAGGGTATGAAGTACTTGCAAGAGAAAATGTGATTTTTTTTTTCCTGAATATTAACAAACTTCTCTGATAGGAGTTGCAGTGGATTGAGTTTGCTGACTGATTGGCTCTTTCTAATTTGTCCATTGCAATTATTCTATAGCTTGTGCTTGTCAGAAATCTTTTCAACACGGAGTCTGCCTTTGTTAGGTTTCTGGTGTGAGCAGGAGCACACTTCTGTTTAGTTTACCGTTTAGTAACTGCTCTGTGGCAATTGTGTGTTTCTCCTCTGAACTCAGACTGTACTTTGAAGATGGAATAGGATACAGCTCTGTGGAACTGGGGTGGTTTTTTTTTTTTTTGCTGATAGGATGTTACTACCTTCTGATTTGCACATCTGACTGGAGAATTCAGTAACAGTCACTTTCCTGTCTTTCAGGTATTGATAGCTGATGACTACTCAGATCCGTTTGATGCCAAAAGTGAGTTGAACAGAATGGGAAAAGGGGAGAACACTGGCTACATGGAACCATATGAAGCCCAGAGAATAATGGCTGGTAAGAAAAGACAATTGCACATGTGAGCTCTAGTTGCGTGGCAGTTTCCATGTATATTATAGCTGCTGTGAAACAGAAATGTCATTGTTTGGAAAACTTTGGCATGGAAACCCATGTTTCTGAAGATACTTAGGTAAGCACCAGTAAATGCCATGAAAGCTTTTAATTTGCCTGCATGTGCCTTGTTATCTAAAAATACTGCTCTGGACCTCACTTTAAAATATAGGTGTTTTTTGCTGTCATGTGAGAAGATTAATAAAATATGAGCAGTGGGAGTTGGAGTGTGTATTGCTCAGCTTGGCAATGTCAAGGCTGTAATTCGTGTATGTAGTAGGGATGGCCAAAGCATGGCATTGTGTTATTTCAGTTAAAAACAGTTGATCAGTTTGCTTATGGACTTTTTTCCTCAATCAGATTCAGACTTCTTGGTCTTCCTTCTCTTGGAGGATGGCTGTAAAGCTATGTCTTCATGTAGCTTCCATCTTTCCTTCCTTGCTGCTCCGATTGTTTTTTACCAGTGGTCAGAATGAGACACTATAGGATGCCTGTAAGCCTTTAATTGCTATTCTTGATAGTTTTTTTCCTTTTTTGTCATGTAGGGAGGTGGTTAATGGTAGCATTGTTGTAGGAGTTTGAACCCCTTGTCCTAGTGTTACGCAACTGTATTTTCCGTATATTCTCCTTATCTGCATCAATTTCCTACTTATTGGCTATGCATTCTGTAAAATGCTCCAAGGTATGGGACCACATGTTCTTAATTTATGATGATTTGAATCAATCAACACACATCTTTGTGCAGATCAATTGTGCATTTCTTGGATTTGTGGAGCAGGTCCTCTTTTTCTCGTTATGGAGTAAAAGTCATTCTTGTACCCAGTTAAGTTGATTGTATGCTTTCCTTTTCTATTGGCAGCTCCTGTTTTGGGCCCTCAGGAAAGATTAATCAGTGGGGGAAGATGAGGCTGTTGGATGCAAAGATCCTTTTTTCATGCAAGTGTTCCTATTTTTCTTTTCTTAAATAGCATTTCTGAAGAGAGACAGGAAATGACATGGAAACTATTGCTTGGAAGTTCTCAGTATCTTATAGAGGGGCTGGGAGCTTTTATTTCTCATTAGTGTGAATCCATTCTAAGTTGAGTAATTTTTCAGAAAAACAAATTAGTCCAAATAATTTTTTGCTCTGTGTTGAGCAAAATGCACAGGTGTTTTGTGATGAGCATTTGTGATTCTAACTATGAAGTTTACAGGGCGTTGACTGGTTTCTCCCTGTGTTCAGGACAGGAGTTTATTCTATCTCCTTTTCCAGATTAGCCATAACGAATGAGATGAATTAGTGGACAATACTGGATGACTTACCTAAAGTAAGGAACAGTGGGTTTGCGAACCCTTGCACTTACAAGACACCCTTTTGCCAAATTCGTATTTGGCGCAACTGATAAGCTGTTATATCTGCTCCATATGTTACTATAAAGGAAACCTGAGGAGCTCTCAAGGATGCCCTTTTAAAAATGAGGTTTAATTGATTATAATGATAGAGCAAGTGTTCTGAATATGTATTCGATTGAGCCAGCAGAAGATGATTGATATACCCATGAAGATGTTTAGTGTTTTGAGATCCGGGTATCTTGTCCTAATGCAGACAGAAATAGAGAAGGTCTTCTGCAAACCTCCATGAGGTCAGGTTGTGTTGACTATATTCAAGCATGTGGTTTTGTGTTTGGGGTTTTTTATTGGTCAGGTATTACCTTTGCCCTTTACTTGACAAATGAAAATCCAAAGGCATCCTGTGGAGAGTTTTTAAAGGTTCAGTTTTTATTTACCAGATGAGTTCTATTATGTATATGCACCTTCTAAAGAAGACCTTTTGACTGCAGTTTGATTGGCCTCAAAATCTTTACTGCTTTGTTTGTTATGTTTATTTGTTGGTTTTGTTGTCTGATGAACAGAAGAACATGAGATGGCTATCTGTTTAGCTTGACTAATCTGATTAAATCCTTCTGACTGTATTTAAAATGGGTTAATCCCAGAGAGAAGTAATTTGCATACCCCAGCAGAAGGCAGGAAATGTAGGAGAGACAGAAAACATGTTACTGTTGTACCCAAACCTTTGCATTCCGGAAACCAGGAGTAAGGCTAGTTGAAATATGAGCTGAAAATTTTTGTGCATGTTACCTGCTCCTTGAGTTAGGAGAGGATTAGGCAAAAGCAGGTGTCCATATGAAATAAGACCCTGTGATTTCAATATGAGAAAGTAAACTTACACCTGAATAGAAATGTATGATGTCTGAAATAACTAGTATTTTCATTCAGTACTTCTCCTTTCTCCCTGAGAGCTTTGTGGGCTTGCAGTTGTCATGTAATTTGTTCTGAGCTGATGTTTAATTTGAAAAAAAAATGCAATCCTTAAAGTTAATTATTTCAATTAATTATTTAATGGTCTATCTGTTTCTATGCTGTCTGTGTTCAATTGGGTTCAATCAGGCTTGAAGTTTCTTCTGCTGATAGTGTCCTCCAAAAACACTGTCTTGCCAGATCTGTGGTTGTGAGGGCTGAAAGAAAGCAACCTTTATGCAGAGTTTTGGAAAGACTTTTTGAAGGAAGGCTTGACCTGAGGCTAAGGAAAAGCGTGGTGATAACGAATGCATGTTTATAAGAAGCTGTCATCTCCTGTCAGCCAAGCACGTCTGCTGGCTAGTAGTGATATTCATTAGTGTCCTGTCTTCAGGAAGTCTGTGCCAGAGGTTCAGAGAAAACCCCTGTGAATCCAGTTCCTGATGTGCTGTGTGGTGTGAGTCTCTGCTTGGCTGTGTGTGCACCTAAAGCCATGGGAACAGCGTTGTATCTTTGCCTTATCCACAACCTGTTTGGAGATTTGATGTCTCAGTGTACCTACATATGTATGAAGGAAGTTCTCTGTGATGTTAATATCTGACAAACTGTGTCATGGACTACACGTGGAGTGAGATTCGTGCATGCATGAGAGCAACAGACGTAGCTAAGATGATGATTTCTATGGATCCCGAGAATTAGATGGACCTTACTTTCCCTGTAGTATCAGTCTGTAGCTGCTGCAATGACGTGTGTCCTGCCACAGAAACAAGCCTGTGCTGCCTTACCTAGCCTGTAACCAAGCATCATTGCTTCGATCAGGTGTAGAAACTAGTTCGTGCTTGAGAAAGAGTTGTCCAGAGAAACTGTGGCTGGAGATGCTGCATTTGAACATTCCAGAAGTGAATGGTTGAGATACTGTCAGGTCAGAGTGGCAGTGCTGCTCTGTCATCCATTCTTCACAGGGAGTGCTGGGGGAAGAGAAATTGAGTTCCACCTGAGTATTTACTTCCATCGGTCTGCACTAGATGTCAAATCACGGAGAGGGGTCTGTTTTCTGTGGTAATCCCTTACCTGAGAGGAGAAAAGGTGCACTTAGTTCATGGATATTACTATGGCTATACTTGGGGAAAATGTGCATTTGTTTCCCTTTAAAATCCCCTATAAGTCATAAGGTCCTATTCTAGCCATACTCTTATGGGTATGCCTTTCCACGTTCCCCTGACAGCTGCACATGTTGACGCAGCTTTTTCAGGCATCTCTGCCTTGCAGAAGGAATTAAGAGAAGTCCTCAGACTGCATGAAACATTTGCAATCAAATGCCATGTCAAGGCTGTCTATACCACAGCCTTATATATGCTGTATGAAAGAACTCACCTTTGGAGGGGGATCCAGTTTTGGATCATCACTCAGACAGAGATATGCTGTCAGCCAAGTTGTTGCATGAAGAACTGTCTGCTGTCCTTGCTGCTTGGATTTGAAGAGAGCCCCTTGCTTCTAACTCACAATGTCTTGTGTGCAAGGTGCCTAGCATGGTACGTGCTATTAAATAAAATTAACTGAAAAACAGTAAAATTAAGGTCATAGGTCATTTCAAGTCTCAAAATAATTTGGAAGCACATTATCAAAAATGGCTGGGTGAGGGGAGGTGCTGTTTGGTGAGAAAGGAAGTAAAAAGCATTATCCGAGGGGCATGCCTACCTTGAAAAATGTTTCTTAGCAAAATCACTTCTGTTTTTTTCCAGATCAGGAGCTGTGTTTTCTGTTGTCTAGAATGGTTATGAATGGGGAGTTAGGGCAAGCTAAGCCCTTGGGTAACAGTTTGGAATTTGAGTTAAGCCTGTGGTACATCAGTGCCTTGATTTCTTAGAGGTCTACAAATGCCTCAGGTATGTGCTCTGGAAGTTCTAATGTACACCATGTTTTTCCTTTGCTTTTGTAGGTATGACTTAGGACTGTGCCAGGGACCCCCTTCATGGGGTTCTGGCATCTTCTAGATCATGCATCTGCCTCAAAGATAAGGTAGACAGGGAGAAAACCTTCGTCTTGTGTTTCAGAATTCTGTAGACCTAAATGGGTAGCACTTCTGAAAACAGGTACTTTCCCTGAGATGTAACATACCATGTGGTATTCCTCATGAAGGAAATGCTCTGTTGTGAACAGACTTCAGAAGGCTGTCACAACACTATTAATAAAATATACATTGGGCTTCTCTTCTGATCAGGATAAATTTAGAAGCTACTCAGGACATAAAAAAAAAAAATCTCCTTTTGTACAGCCAGAGCAGGTATTTGAGGAAGAAGGAAATCAGTTTTGTTATTGATGCATTTCTCACAGGAGGCTGGTCACACAGTTGTCCTGGGAACTGGACGTATTAGATTTTGTAGGTGGGTTGTGCTAACACATGAGATCAGGGAAAGCTCAATGTGCATCGGGTAAGTCCCAAATCAACTCAGAAGCCTGCTACCAGTACCTGTTGAAGACTGGAAAATCCCAGTAAGTCACAAAAGGGCTTCTGGACATAATAGAAAGCTGAATTCAAGTTTCACAGACTGAGTAGATGAGCTTGTATACACGCTCCAGGGCTGAGCAACTGGTGTGTGTGAAGGACCTGTGTACTGGACCTGAAGAGCTGGAAATTGTTTCTAGGGATGCTCTAGAGTGTTTGGATC